TGAAACAACGATCTTACCGAACTGGTCATAGATCTTCCGCTTTTCTGGATCCGAGAGAGCTTCGTAAGCCTCAGAAATATCGTAAAACTTCTTCTCGGCCTCTTCTTTATTATCACTACCATGCGAAAGGTCCATCCGGGTTCAACTCCCAGGAGGTCGATCTTCCTACGTATTCTTATCCGGATGCCACTTCAGAGCCGCTTTACGATATGCTCCTTTGATCTGACTCTCACTGGCGCTTCTGGGTATCCCCAAGATCTAATCAAACATTCACTCGCCTTTAATAACAGTCATCCTTCTGCGACAACATTGCAACTCAGTGTTCATACGCCTGGTACACGAGCCGCTCGCGAAGACGCCGAGATGAGTTAATAACAGCAGCAGACGAGGATAGTACCTTGTAGTAGTCCTTGCCGCACTCAACTAGGCCAATGAGTCCGACATAGAGTACTAGGATGGAGTACCGTAATATGAACATTCACGGGTAAAAAACTGATGAGAAGATTGCAACTTATGTGTGTCTGTGTGGATCTGTCCCCGGTCGTTGCCGGTCCAGGGGCCTATCGCCCTCAAACGTACAATCGTCGACTCGAGTGGTTGCGAGAAGGAGCAGCGAAAAAGAGAAAAGTCTGTTCAATACTGTGGGTCCACAAACCATACATATCGATTACAATGGCGCGCGCTACTATAAACGAGGCACTTCGAAAAGAAAGGTGATACCCATCATCAGAGTTCGTTTTTGGAGCCGTATGGTTACCGTTCTCGCATCGACTCGTCGCATTGTAGCGGCCGGCCCCGTGCGCTCAGGACTGCTGCGTCGCAGTGCTTTCAATCGTATGAGGGTTCCTGAGGACATTGAGTTCACCAAAAACAGATACACCAGGAGGGTAAGGCTTCTTGCTGTTGGATCGTATTTCGATCTGTCCGTGTTAGTATAACCTGGCAACAGAAGACCGTGTGAAGTTGCTGAATTGGAATGCTTTTTGCATAGCTGTAACCGCACTTCCTATCGCCTATGTGTAAGCCTCCCACCCTCCTTATGGTTCGACATAGTGCACAGGTACTATTCTTGGTACGAGTCGTCTGAGGACACCGATATGATATATAGGACTATGGACCCTATGAGGGAGGCTAAGGCCGAGTACTATCTGCCACTACTCAGAGGCTATTAGCTCTAGCATCGTCATGACTGGTTGATAGTTTTTCCCTTTTTCTATCGAAAGTGTTACGTTTGATAACCTGGAAGCCACAGAGCTTCCCTTCAACTCATCGATGAGGACATCTCTACGTCTCGCCGTATCACCGCTGTATCAGTATGGCATCAGAATTTCTGCAAACCTTCTGTAGTAGTTCGTGCAACCTACGTCGATGCTTATCGACTATTGCAAGGCATTGACAGCGTATCAGTGTTGGTGTCGCGTGTCTTGTCATGGTGCCGCCTCCTCCTCCTCCCTTACCTACCGCACTTTCTCCCACTCATCATCAGTCTGTTGGCAACCAAGTATCGTACGATAATTCGGATCACCAGAGACGGACAGAGGACAGGAGTGGTAAGAGTAATCATATTATTGCCCCCACAGGAGATCCTTCTCATTTAACAGGTCCACCTAACGGTCCCGTATCGCCTTCAGACGGTTCTTCAACCAGTAGTCATCATCAATACCATCCCTCGAGCAGTTCTCGATCTGCCGATATCGCGGCAGCAG